GACTGGGTCTGGGGGCTCCCGGAACTCGGCAGAAAATCCTACTCGGCGGGCGGGGTGGGGGAGGCACTGAGGAGTGGTGGGGGGCGGCCCGAGGGTTGGTTTTGTTTTGGATAAGTATGCACTATTAACTGAAAAGGACCTAAACTTTTTATTGATCTTGTGTTATAATTCATACTTCACAATATACAGCCATTTATCATGTACAATGAATGATACCATTTTATGGTCAATCTTCCATAACCATGATCAAAATCTCATTTTCAAACATTATCATCATTCTCAGAAGAAACTGAAGATGTACCTCACTTAGAGACCACTTGCTTCCCATGCACACAGCCCTGGGTTTACTTTCCACCACAAAGAAAAACACAATAAGAAAAAATTGTACCCATCAGTAACTGTTCTCTTGTCTTATCAACCAACACAAGACAATTACTAATCTCCTCTTTGTCCTCATGGCTTTGCTGTCTCTGGGCATCTCATATACATCAAGCTGTCTTTTTCATTACTATCACAGTACATATCAGGGTTTCACTCCCTTATATTTCCAAATAACACTGCATTGTTTGGTTCTTGGTGTATGTTATTTATCAGCTCAAAGATGTTTACATAGTTTCCATGTTGGGGCTACTAGGAACAATGCAGTTGACAGCTACACATTTTATTAAAAATCACTATTACAAAGGCCTCCCAAATAGCTGAGCAGATGAACGCGCCTGCTTAGGATGAAACTGGGGTTGGGGGTTCGATCTCCAGCATGCATTGCTATGCTCTGCCGTGCCTTGCCGAGCTGAGCCATGCCAAGTAGTGATTGCAGCTGAGCAAGGTAGCCCATTCCTGTAGTCCCAGCCACTTGGGAGACTATAAAGGGAAAGATCACTACAAGTCCGATCTACATATTGAGACCCTATCGATGCTATACTAAATATATTTTTTTAACTCACTAACACAAATGTATTTGTTAGGAAAACTTCGCTTCTAGTTTGATACATCAGATAAGTTTAAATAAATAGTAATTGCAAAGAATAATTTCAAAAATGTAGAATAGTGAATTTTCATATTAGCCGTAGTTATATAACAGCACTTGCAATATACTGGATAAAATAAAAATAGTATTAAAATATTTCACTGGGCCTGGGATATAGCTTAGTAGCTTAAGTGCCTGCTTGGCACATGCAAGGTCCCAAGTTCAATCTCTTGTACAGAAAAAAAAAAGTTTCACATTTTTCATTGTCTTTTTGCCTACAAAGCTCAGATCTACTCCAGAGCCTAAAGAAGATACATGTCTGCTCCACAGCAACACTTCTCCTCCATGCTTCTTCTTATTACAATTAACTGTCTATAGAAAGATTTCACAGTGCAGGTGTGGTTCACATTCTGTGTCTACTGGACAGCACTGATGTAAATATCTGATCCATGGACCAATATGTAAACCCATCTTTGATAAATTTTATCTTTACTAGTTTCCTACTGATTTCTATTTCAAAATGCTACCTATCCAGAGAGAAGCAAGTTTCCTAGCACTGAGGGAACCTGAATTGAGGAGGACCTGTTAACAATGATCAACCAGCCTCTAGAAGGTTGGGAAACCCTTCCCTCCCTCACTCGGAGGAGTTCTGAAAGACTCCAGCACTCTCTGGTTTGCCTTTCTTTATCCAACTTCCCTCTTCTCTGGTGCTGGTGATCTCTTAAGCCAGCATAACCAGAAGACAGTGTCTAGGTCAGGAGTCTTCTACATGGACCTTCCCCTTCTCCACTTCTCTGTACTGCGCTATCTCCCAAAGCTGGTGCCTGGGCTACTGCTATCACCACAACATGCAATGGAATGGAGAGCTGCTCTCCTCAGCCTCAGCCATTTGCTGACTCTGGTGTGAAGGAAAAGCTCCCCTTCACAAAGGAGGTATAAACCCACACCAACACGATGACTTCCTTGCACTGTAAGGACAGCTTTGCCTCCAATCCACACTATCAACTCCTATAGATCACCAGAACAATGTTCTTCCATGAAAATCATGTCACCCCTGCAAGGCCCTGTGACCTTGTACATGAGAAGTATAGTCCCCAGAAATGGTGTATTAGACCCTACAAGCAGGGTCTTTTTCCCACTTATATTCTTACATCCTCCTACAATTTGTAACCAGAACAATAGACTCCCTGAAGACTGGACACTTCATGTCAGGCCTGCAGAACACTCAAAAGGCTTTATTCTCATCACAAGAGATTCCATAGCTTTGCGTATGGAACACCCCTAGTGCCCAGAGAGTCAGGTCTGTATGTGACAGGTCAGGACAGGGGTAATATTGACATTTGGGTTTGTCTATGTTCTTTGAATGACAGAAAGGGCCAAACCACGAGTATATTGGGATGTTACTGACCTCCTCTGGTCCTACAAAAGGTTTTTTTTTTCTACAAAAGGTTTTTAAAGACCATTGTTCTCACTATTTCTGCAAATCACTTTTCACCAACCCATTTTCCTTTTCTTATATGACTGTATCCATTTTTCCTATTAAAAAAAAAAGAATGAAAAACTTACAAGCAAGAAAAAACTGCTGTCCATATACTTCCTTAATATGTATGGGTGTGTCATCCCAGATTTTCTCCATCTTCTCTAACATTCTCTGCATATCTGTCATGCCTGTTTTAAAGCCACCAGGTTCAATGATGCTAACTTTCACCCCAAAACTTTTCAGCTCACGCCTGAAACAAGATTCATCAAGTTAACTCCTTTAATTGAAATATAAGGCAATTTCAATTTTCTCAGGCAAGAAAATACAAAATGCCACAAAATTATTCTTTTAAAATCTTAACTGTATATCCTAAAAGATAAAGGAAGCCAGGGATATAACTCAGCAGCACAGCACCTGCATGGCAAGTGCAAACTCATGAGTTCATTCCCAATACAAAAAAAATCCAGAATTTTTGCCAGGGGAGATAGCTCAGCAGTATAAGCACCAGCCTGGCAAGCACAAGGTCCTGAGTTTAATAACCAGTACCAAAAAAATAAAGAGAAAATAAGAAAACTATAAAGGAATGGAGACAGAGAAACAAAACATTTAAACATCCTGAGGACCAAAAATTGAGACACAGTTATTCCAAATAGCATGACCATTAAATTCTGACTGACTTCACCAAAGAAAAAAATACCCACCATTGTACACATTGGAAGTATGGCAAATACCAATTATAATATAGGAAATCCACACTGATTATTAGTGGCACCGTGCTAAACATTTTACATAAGCAATTACAGTTTATTCAGACCCAGTTCTTCCCATGAAAAACTCACAGTGAGAAAGCCCAATAAGTAACCTCACAAGTGCGAGATGACTTAAGAGAATTACATGGTGTGGGAGCATATCCCAGGGGCACAGTACATGCTTAGCATGTAAAATGGTCCTGGGTTCAATCACCACCACGGAAAAGAAAGAAGGAAGAAAAACAGGGAGGTATCCAAGGAGCTACAGAGGTACAAAAGTGTTGCAGAGAAATATCCTGACCTGGTCAGGAAGGCTTCATTGAGAAGAAGGCATTTCAGCTTAGCCTTGAATGATACAGAGGAATCCCCAGGTGGAAAAAGGAGGAGTGCCACATCATGAAGTGTGCTGCCCAAGCAAAAGCACAGGCCTGTAGAAAAATGAGTCACCTTCAAGAGTTATAAGTAACCACTTGTGGAATAAGTTGTGGGCATGAGAGATGCAATCATTGTGCCTTGCTTTTTTTCTTGTAAATTAATTTTGTTTAATGTTTGTGGGTACATATTTATATTTTAGGGGCCAGAATAAATATCAATATTTATTTAAAAATTCTAAGTCATGAGTCATTTCAGAATATTCCTGTTACTTTTGGAGGATTGTTTGGTTTTCCTTTGCTTTGCTTTGCTTTGCTTGCTTTGCTTTGCTTTGCTTTGCTTTGCTTTGCTTTGCTTTGCTTTGCTTTGCTTTGCTTTGCTTTGCTTTGAGACAGGGTTTCACTATAGAGTGCAATCACTTTGGAGTCCAGGCTGACCTCAAACTCACAGCAAAGTCCCTGCCTCAGCCTCCCAAGGGCTGGGCTTGCCACAGTCAAGTACCACCAAAACTAGCTCCTGTTAGGTCAACAAACTGTACAGAAATCCCCCTGAGGAGCTCACTCTGTGCAAGGACCCTACAGAGCACAACATGCACCCAGGGAAGAAAGACAGCTATCTGCCTCCCAGAAGCTACTGGTGCTCAGGGATTGTGATGAGGGGTGCTCCTCACATTACATGTGGCCATGTTGGCAAAGCTGGAACCTCATCTGAAGTCAAGAATAAATATCTGAGAAAATGGTCTATATGAGAGAACACAATGCAGGACACCCCTCTATGCAGTCATTTTCCCAGTATGGACACTGCAGCAACAGCATCAAAAACTCCTTGAGGGGCCAGCCACATAGCTCAGCAGAATAAAGCATCTGTACAACCAGGAGCAGGGACTGAGTTCGAACCTCAACGTGCCCTGACACCCAGCCTCTGGGACATGCTAAGACAGAAATTGAGACTGGGCGTGGTAACACACACCTGTAATCCCAGCACTTGGGAGGCAGAAAAAAGGAGAATCACTATGAGTCTGATCTGTGTAGTGAGACCCTGTAGACCCTGTACTAAATACAAAAAAAAAATCTGAAACTTGGCAGGAATTCACCTGATAGCAACCCTTAGGCTGGACCTGTCAAATCAGAAACCCTAGTTTTGAAACTCAACAATGTATTTGAACAAACTGCCAGGAATTTGTGGCATGTAATAGTTTTGCTGTGTGTGATAGTTCATATCTGTAATCTTGGCACTAGGGATGCTCAAGCAGAAAAGATTGTCACAACTTTGAGCACATGGAGGTCAACCTGTGCCGCACTGTCAGTTCAAGACAAGCCTGAACTAAAAAGTGACATCTTGTCTCAAAAAAAAAAAAAAAAAGATTTACTGAGAAGTTTTTTCACTTCAAAAGAAATTGCCAACAAAGTGAAAGGCAACCCGCTAATTTGGAAAAAAATCAGACAAATAAGTACTGAGACAAAGGTCTGCTCTCTGGAATTTATAAAGAACTAAAAAACACTAGGGTCCCAAAATTTAAAGACCCAGAACAGAAATGCACATCTGGGATGAGCACATGTTTCTCACAGGATGAAATTAAAGAAGCGAATTAATATATGAAAAAATGCTACACATCACTATCCATGCATGAAATGCAAATTAAAACAACATTGAGATATCATCTCACCACAAGAAGAATGACTATCATACAGAAATCACCCAACAACAAATGTTGGAGAGGCTATCGGGAAAAGGAATCCTTCTCCATTGCTGGTGGGAATGTAGACTGGTGCAACTGTTGTGGAAATCAGTGTGGAGACTTCTTAGAAAAGTTGGACTGGAAATCCCATTTCAACCAGCTACTCCTCTACTGGGAATTTTCCAGCAGCATCTGAAAACATCATTTCATAGGGATATATGCGTGCCTATGTTTATAGCAGCACAATTTGTGATAGCCAAATCTTGGAAACAACCATGATGCTCATCACCTAGGAATGGTTGAAAAAGATGTGATATATTTACACAATAGCGTATTATTCAGCTATAAAGAATTATAAACTCGAAGCACTTATATTGAAGTGGATGCCACTTGAAGATATACTCATAAGAGAAATGAAACAGCCACACATGTGTAAATATCATATATTTTCCCTAGTATAAGAACTCAAAAGAAGAAATACAAATAGAAAGGTATAATACAAGTAAAAGGAAAGCAAGAATGTGAGGACTAACTAATCAAGAGAGGGAAAGGAGAAGAGCTAGGAAACATGACAATGTCAAGCCATACAGTTATATGTACAAGATCGGCAAGGCAATGATCCTGAGAATCTCCAGAAGATCTTTGAATCTAGCAGTTAATTGGAAAGATTCTCACCCTGACTAACTATATATACTGATACCTGTTAACTAAACAACTGCACTGAAAATGGTGATCTGTGGTGGTAGTTTCATGCTTGGAGTGCCTGTCATTCTGAACTTCTGAATACGGACTTCTTGTCATGACATGCCAGTTGTTGCTGTGCTGTCTTTCAGGTAGATGATTGTCTAAAAAGCAGCAGGTGGTGAATGAAGGCAAGAGACAGGAAAAGGAATGTTGTGAGACTGTCTTGCTTCAAGGTTGTATATGCTTAGATTTTTGGGCTTACGTGTAAACATAAGAAGTATATAATTCTTTATGACCATTTTTGAAAATATGTTCTAATTTTTAAATGTTTCTTCATCATATTCTGTAGGGACTTAAAGTTCAACTTATCAAGACTTGATGAAAAATACCTGTTCCATGTTATGCCTAAGTTGTTTGATATTCAGACAGATAGTGGCCTTAAGCTTACCAGCCTAGGTTATATGGTAATCACAATAAGTTTCTCTTCTGGAGGGTGAACAACCAAAGTTTGCAAACCAAAATTAGAGAAAATGAAAGGCTGCAAGGAAAGCTAACATTTTGGCCCTAGCTTTCCAAGGTCAATTAAGATTCAGGACATACGAGAACTTATACTGTAATGTCATGTAACTCGGTAGTGTCCCAAATTTTCTGATCAAGGAGACTATGGGGCCAAAGAGGAAAGTGATCAATGATGTAGAGTGTGGCTAAGGAGAGTCACATGGAGAGAAAACATTCTCTCAGGCTTTCACAGAGAGCACATTGGCCAAGCAATGGCTGTGACTCATCCACATGGCTGACACTGACAAATGTTCTATAATCTGAGGTACAGGATCTCAGGATAAATCCTGATGGGATTTCACTGACCTTAACATATCCTATCCATTTTGAATACACACATAAAAAATGGACATTCATGTGTATCCCCTTTCTTGTTTGCTTCCATCATTTGAATATCATAAGTGTGTTAACTCAGCAAAACATTCTAAAAGAGTCCAGTAGTCCATAATAGTATTGGCTCTTCTGCTTTACTGGCAATGTCAGAAATTTCAACACAAACTTTAAATGCTAAGAAAGCTTGGAGTAAGTGTTTGAATTTGGAAAAAAACAAAAAGCAATCTTCCTACCCATACTGAATTTTCTAAAAAACTATTGTCTCAGTTACTTTTCTCTCATTGCTGGGACAAAGTACCCAAAACCCAAATTAAGAAAGGAAAGATTCATTTACCTCACAGTTTGTGGAGGTTTCAGTACATACTGAACATAAACACCAACACAATTATAGTGGAGGACCTCTAGACATCACTAACACAAATACATCAACTAGCACAAATATCGACAGAAAATTATGACAGCTGAACTACACCTTCAAGGAAATGGACTTAAGGTATATTTACAAAAGTTTCACCCAAGAACAAAGGAGTGCACATGGAATCAGTAACACATGAGACTTCATCTAAAATAGACTGCAGAAAATAAATAAATAAATAAATTAAATAGACTGCAAAGCCTCATAAAGCATGTGTAAATAAATATAGTCATAATAATTCCATTTATATCATCAGATCATGATAAACTAAAACTGGAATCAAAGACTAAATAATCACAGAAATTATGCAAATGCATATAGGATTTTAAAATACACTCTTAAATAGTCAGTGGCTCACAGAAGAAATTAGACAGTTCCTAGATTTACATGACAATGCCAGGAAAGCACACTTCAATCTAGGAAAACAATGAAAACAGTCCTAAGAGGTAGGTTTATGCCTGCAAATCCCCACATCTGAAAAGGTCAATCTGATGTGGGAAGTACCACAAAGACCTTGGGGGAGGATGTGCTTCTGTCAAGTCTTGGCTGTGGCGGTGACCTCTGGGAAACAGGAGTGCTGCTGAGCCACAGATGCCTGTATTAAATAGACTCATATAGTAATCATATCTGTGAACTAAGATTTGAGGAATGAGAAAATCAGGCAAGATGGGTGAAAGTATGTAGCACCATCTCTATCTAAGACATGTGCAATGCTCAATTGTTTTATTTCACCTTAATAGCATTACCTCAGTACATCTGAAAATGCTTCAACTCCAAATTTGGAGCAGGTGTAGGATGCAGGACCCAAAGCAATTCTTCCTGCAATGCTGGAGACATTGACGATCCTCCCCCTCGCTCTCCTCACCAAGGGAAGCATGCTCAGGGTCACCTCGGTCAAACCAAAGAGGTTCACTTTGAAGACATTCATAAAGTCTTCAGCCTTCTGCCACTCACTCAGTCCTGTTCCGGGATATATGCCTGCATTGTTGACCAG